TCGTGCCACTGGACTCCAACCTGAGCAAAAAAGTGAGACCCCGTCTCAAAATAATAAAATAAAATAATGAACCGCATTTTTCCCATCTGGGACATGGGAATATTAATGGCAATCTCATAAATGTGTTGAGATTAAATTAATATAAGGGATTGCCATACTTTCCGGCATATCTCTAATGTGAATCCTCTGCTCTGGATAGGTTGGTTTCCAATTAGAGCCCAGGCATTTGTCTCAATTATTCTTTTTTTTTTGAGATGGAGCTTTGCTCTTGTTGCCCAGGCAGGAGTACAATGGCACGATCTTGGCTCGCTGTAACCTCCACCTCCTGGGTTCAAGCAATTCTCCTGCCTCAGCCTCCTGAGTAGCTGGGATTACAGGCATGCACCACCATACCTGGCTAATTTTGTATTTTTAGTAAAGATTGGGTTTCCCCATGTTGGTCAGGCTGGGCTCAAACTCCTGACCTGAGGTGATCTGCCTGCCGTGGCCTTCCAAATTGTTGGGATTACAGGCGTGAGCCACCGCGTCCAGCCTGTCTCAATTATTCTTGTAGTTACACCTTTGTTTTTGCCTGGGACTCCAGCCTTGGAAATGCCAGACTCTACCTCCTGGCTTCTTTAGTCTTGCCCTATTCCTTCAGGCCCTTCTAGGCTACAAATATTCATTCTTTCCTTTTAATTCTAAGAACATTTTGAGTCTGTTCTACACAGAGTCTCAGAGCAGATTTTTTAGTCCAATTTCCAACCCAAATGTGGGAAACCATCCATACGCTGCCTTTCTGGTGGCTATTTTGCTTCTACTTGAATAGTTTTAGTGTTGATGAGCTAAACTTAGGCTGCTCGTCCCCATTTTTTCAACAGCTCTAATTAAATAACTAAAACATGCAATTATCTTTTTAGTCATGATTGTCTTGCTTTTTTAATAAAATTTTCAGTTCTCCTAGAAGAACAAAGTAGCTGCTCAAAAGGCATTGATTATATTTATGCCTAAAATTATAATTTCCCAACGTTAATAGTTAAATCATTGCTACCACTTTTATTTTCTTTTATTCCAGCTTTACTATACCTTGGAGAAGATGACCTGCCATTATAGGGCTTATGATTATTGTCACAATACCTACAATAGGTTTCTGAGCAGAAAGAAAGCAAAGAAAATCCTCCTGGTTGATGTCTAGTGATACTTGAATTAACTTTACTTAGGTCACTTTAGGTTGCCCTTATACAGCATTTGAATTTTTGGGAAAAAAAAGTTCTGTTGCAAAACTTTTATTCTCTCTTGTGATATCCTTTTGGACTTTTACTCTTCATATACAAATATATCCATATCTATATGCCTGGTTTAATTTTTACAAAAATTGATATTAGAACATGCTATGGTCTGACTGTTGGTGTCACCTCAAAATTCATGTTTGAAACTAATACTCAGTGTGATAGTATTAGGGATCTTTGGGAATTGATTAAGTTATGAAGGCTTCAACATCACGACTGGGATTAATGTCCTTTTAAAAGAGGCACAAGGAAGCTCCCTTGCCCCTTCCTCCATGTGAGGCTGCAGCAAGGTGCCATCTGTGAAGCAGAGAGCAAGCCCTTACCAGACACCGAGTCTGCTGGTGCCTTGATCTTGGCCTTCCCAGCCTCCAGAACTGTAAGCAATAAGTTTCTCCTTTTATAAATTAATTACCCAGTCTAAGGTATTTTGTTATAGCAGCCCAAATGGACTGAGACACAGACCATGTATGCTTCTCTGTACTTCTTTTTAAATAGACTTAATAATATAGCAATGACCTTTATTTTTAATCATGTATCCTAATCAGTTATTTTCTCCTGTTGACCAACATATATGTTGTTTCCAGTTGATTCTTGTATTCTGATTCTTTTACCTTAAAAGAAATTAAAATTGTAAAAGACCGCTACATTTCCACTCACAAATTCACCCACTGTTATGGGCTGAATTTCATCCTCCCAGTGCGTATAGGGGCCATCCAAATAATGCTCTGAGTAAAGGGAACTAAATGTAAGAGACAGAGAATGGTGGGGACTGTGGTATATTAGAGAGTACAGGCTCCTTCTAAAAGAGCACCCAAAATGCCATGATTCAGCTGATTATTGTCATATGAAAACACAGGTCTCATATTACCAGATCTTCAGGTTTTTTAAAAGAAGCTAGAAATCTGGAATTAAATGTGAAATATATCATTTATGTATGTATGTAGGTATATATGTATTTATTTTGAGTCAGGGTCTTGACCTGTTGCCTAGGCAGGCTGGAGTGCAGTGGCGCCATGTTGGCTCATTGCAGCCTCGACCTCTTGGGCTCAAGCAATACTCCCATCTTAGCCTCCAGAGTAGCTAAGCCACCATACATGGCTAATTTTTGTATTTTTAATAGAGACGGAGTTTCACCATATTGGCCAGGCTGGTCTCGAACTCCTAACCTCAAGGGATCCTCCTGCCTTGGCCTCCCAAAGTGCAGGGATTACAGGAGTAAGCCACCGTGCCCAGCCTCAATTTTTAAATGTTTCAAATTAAAAAAAAATTGTGCTGGCTAATGATAACCTATTCCTGCTGGTTAGATATGACCCACAGGCTACCAGTTTGCAACTTCTGCTCACTAGAACAAGTAATTTGTGGAGCCCTAGGCATTTATCTCTACTCCAAAAGTTCTTAGCATGAGGATGGTGAAGATTAGATGGCAGCAAATAAGTGCACAAGGAAGTCCAAGTCATGTTTTAAACTACTGAGTTTTTTTTTTTTTTTTTTATTGCAAAACATTTGTTACAGAAATTTCAGAAAGTTTTTCCCGTGGTATCTGCCAACTTCTGCTCTGAATTATATATCTAAACAATCAAGCTCAAAGTGCATTGTGAATCCAATAATAGACCTTTAAAAAAGAACAATTCTGCTAAGGATTTATATATATTTATAGTGTCGATAGATATGCAAACCATGGTCTATCCATACACAAAGAAGGAAAAGATGTATATGTATTTAGCAAACCCAATTTCAAAACGATTGTATTTGTAGGAATTAATTTAAAAATGATATCTGAATAATTTCCCCCATTATAAACTAGGGTTAGAACATTTACAAATGAGAGTCTAGGTCCTATGTTATGAAATGGCTATGAGTACAGTATACTGCACGTACTGTTTTTACACAGCGGTAGCAGCAATATAAACTCAGGTCAGATGCAGTAGTGACAGGAAACAGGTAAGTCTTCATACCATGCTATGGTACTCTTCTTCTGAATCTCTCTCTCAAAGATTCTGTGTTCAAGTTTAGAATTATGTGGCTAACAAATATACATGCCTATATCATTCAGAACAAGAGTAACTCTGAATAAGGTGAGTTTCTTTCCCCCCGACCTCAGTTCTCAGTGTATTTTGTGTGTATACTCACCAGGTCACAATCAAGAATCTGATCCTGTTGGCTCTAAATCAGAGGTTCCACACTATTGCCTTTGGGACCGAATGCCGCTGGCAGACATGTTTGTTTGGCTAGCACAGCGTTTGGAAAGCTGAATTTGAATGTCTTTGTGGTGGGATGTGTATTCTCTCATGCCTTACTCACAAACCCTACTTCTTCTGTTGACTTTCACCAGTCCAATTCACACATTTGTGTGTTCTCGATCTGGTCCCTACACATCTTTGAATTTGCAGCCTCTCAATCTATGTGCAGATGGCTGGCTTTAATGATGTGTGTGTGGGAAGCTGCGGTGAAGATGTGTAGGGCTCTTGAGATTTAGAGAGGCAAAAATTGGATGAGGTCAATGTGAACACCAGCCGGGATAGAGGCAGGAAGAGGCTACGTTGATGGGAAGATCAGGACTGGGACAAAGTCTAAATGTTTGGCTTTTTCCAAGTGGCCGCTGTTTCAGCTTACTGTGCCAGGGTCAACAAGGTATAAAGGTAATGGGGCAAGGTCTGTTGGTCTGGTGAAAAAGCAGCTAGTCTTGGACTAAGAGAAGAGAAGCAAGTAGAGGGCAGAAAGAAAGTCACACATCCAGGCATGAGGCTGAATTTCCCCCTTTGCCCCACAGGCCTCAGCCACCTGCCTCTTCCAGAGAAAGGCATGGGTCCTGATTGGCACTGACACTCTTTACAAAGCCTATGGACTTCTAGCCATACACATGTCTTTTCAGTTCCCAGCACACAAACATTGTGCAAATGCACAGGGGCCTGCAGGTTTAAGGAGGCCAGTAGACTAGGTAAGGTAAGGAAGGGAAAATTCGCCTCACTCTTATTGCCATCTGGATTACCTGGTCACCAAAATCCTCTCTTAGATGACCTGTAGAAACAGTCCCATGTTGCTTTCATTAGCAGTGATGTGTGCAAGGAAATCATCACAGAAAAGATAGCACAACTACCTTCTGAGAGGAATTAAAGAAAAGAAAAAAATTGCTTTTCCTTAATTGGAAACAGCCTTTCTTTTGGTTGACTCCAATCTGAGAGACAGAATATCCAACTTGTAAAAAGAAGAGAAAGCAGGCTGAGAGGAAAGTTTTCTCTATTCATTTTAGGAGCAGTCAGTTACAAAACTGTGCAAATTGGCTCCTCTCTTTTCCAGAAGTTGAATGGCTTCTAGTAACAGTGATTTTCTAAAAGAGTAAACTCTTTAGAATCACCCAGTGCTTGATCAGACACCCAAACACACACCTCCCACCCCCAGGCTAGGCTCACCCCCAAGGTGAAGAAGCCACAGACAAGGAGGGAGGTCTCTTGTCATATCATTGGATCACACATTCACAGCGATCTGCACACCTCTGCACTATCACAAATGGACTTTTCGCTCTCATCTCTGGCTTAGCAATTTACACCCAGTAGCTCTGAAGAATCAGAAATGTGTCTTGCATATATCACATATGCACAACACCTAGACCTTGGCACACCCAAGAGGTGTTGGCTTGCCATCTCTGGGTCCCATGGCTATACAACCTGCAGTTAATACTTTCTTTCATATTATTTGTTCAGTGCTTAAAAAAAGAATTTAAAAATCTCTTGGTTACTTTTTTTTTTGTTTTTAATTTTTCAAAACTGAACATAATCCCCATAGTAAGAAGCCCAACTGTTTGAGTGAATTCCTAACTGACTTAAGCGTCACAGCAGGCAATAGTAAAACGTTAAGTGCCTTAGAAAAGTCAAAAGAAATGCATAAAGCAGTACATGCATTTTGTCCACACAAAATTAAGACCGGGTTTGGAGAGAGATTACTTCATTTGTCACATTGTTATTGTTAAAGGATAGTGAGTTATAATGCAATATCTAGGCCAAATATATAACCACCTACACACTAGCATCACTTTATCTAGAAACAACATAGTGTTACTAAATGAACATATTTATAAAATACTGTACACTGCTTCTGCATGGGGTTGGCAGATGTAAACAAACAGCTAATTCAACTGGAGTTTAAATTATCATTTTAAGTTCATTTGTCATATAGTCTTTTGCATAACATGCCAGTTCATCTTTCATGAAATCACAACTTGCCTACCACAGCTCGCAGGACTCATTGGAGGATATACATCAGCTTACACACATATTTTACAGTGGTCTACAGGAACATGAAAAGCATCAAGCAGATCAGGAACAAAAATGCCCGGTTCACAAAGATGCTAAATAACATGGAATTGGGAACATAATTAATCATTGCAACATGTGCTTCTTTATTGAATGTTACAGATTTATAAATGATTATAAAGCTGTCCTGTAACGTTCATTAATACAACCACATGCTACAACTATGCTGGGTTAAACATGGGTTACATACATGTTTACATGTGTTTTATAATACAGCATTGCCCAACATGTGAATGGTATAGCCTATAGATAGAGCATGATGGATGACTGGATAATATTTATCATCTTTAAAGAAATTAAACAGCCCAAACATTCAGGAAGATTAGACTGTACAGACTCAGGAAGTAAAAAAGAAAAGTACTATCCAGTTATCTACCATAATATTATCTATAGAAACCATGTTTTAGAATACATTTGAAACATTCAGAAGAAACACATTTTGTGTTTTTATGAGTACATTTTTCTCATCTGATTATTCTTATATATATATTTTAAAAGGGGAACTTTCAAAGTGCTAAATAATATCCTAGACCTGGAAACTCAGACATTTAAAAAAGTCCAGTTCTGTAAAGTGCTGTATTATGACTGCTAATATACCTTTTGGCTTGCAGAGATAACACAAACTAGTCATGACAATTGTACTCAAGCTTTCCAGCTCCTCATTCAAATCAATCAAGGAGGGGTCCTCTAACTATAAAGTATATTGGTTAAGCAGGAGACCTCCATGGTCATTTTCATAAAACATCCTTAAATTTTTTTTCAAAAGGAACAAGCAATTTAGAACAAATCATTACATATAGTAGTATATAAAAATTGGCACCTTTGAAGCAGATGATTAAACCGAAGCTATTACTTCCTTGAGCTCTCTATGACTTTATTTACGGTCCTCAGTAACTTGCCGCTCATAAACTGCTTAATTCACAAAGACAGGTAATTAATGTCCCCTCCATCAGGGATGTGGTAGAATCAATGGGCTGAGCATAAGCTGACTGCACAAGGCCACAGAATCAATGCCACATTGGTGCACAGAGAACCCGGAAATGGAAGGAAATGGACTGAAAAATAATACACATACATGTGCACAGGAAGGAAATGGCTCATGGAAGTTACACAGTTTGTGTCTACAGTCATTTAAGTTTGGCTTATATATTTCACACGTTTCACAGATGTTAGAACTTAATTTTCATGCACAACAAAAGAATCAGGTAATTGCAAGATCAGGACTGTTGAGTATTTAGTTTCCCAGTTCCTATATTTTTCTCTCTGAAACCACAATGAATGGAAACACTTGCGCTCAAAATTTCTTTCCCTTACTTCCAATCTGGCCCAGAATGAGGCCGTGGAGTTGTTTGATGTCAATGAATAATGCTTTCATCTCCTTCTTGGGTTCCTCTATAGACCCCTCAGGGAGCCTTCAGCATTGTGATTGTGCTTGATACTTAAAATCATCAACACGTTAGGATGTAAGTGCATTAAATTGGCAACATCTAATTTAAAGAACAAAAATAACAATCTTGGTTCAAACTCTGGTGCTGAGATTTGGCCTTCCTGAGAATCACAGAGAGATGGTCTCAAATGTAAAGTGCTTGTTACAACTATATTAACTATGAACAAACATGGTTCCTTTTCCTCATTATCAGTCAATATGGAACCAGGGGCTCATGAACCCTTTCAAGTTATATTGCAACTTTGCATGTATGTACGTTTTTTTTTTTCTCTCTGGAGAGAGGGCCTAGAGTTATCAGATCCTCATAGGGATTCACGACTCAAGGAAGTTTAAGAACAACTGATTTATTTTCAGACCCAGTACATGTTTGCTGAGAGGGAAATAGCCAGTGTGGGGCCCAATAAAATGTTAAGTGTTTCTAGAACAGCTGTAAATAAGGGAGTCTGGGTGTTTGTTACCAATTCACCTAAATGCCAAGGAATGAAAAAGGAATTAATTTTTTACATATGTGGTATCATCACGCATCTTATACCTGAATTGCTTATTCAGAAGAGTTTTTATTTTGTTTTTTTATCTTATATTTAAAGGCCATGTATTTACTTGATTTCACAAAATGAAGTCAAACTTGGTGTTTTCAATTATAATTAAACAAAAGAACCAGGTAGTACCTCAGGCCAGGAACAATAGGTTGTTTTTCTTAAAGGCTTTATTTATTTATTTATTTATTTATTTATTTATTTATTTTTTGAGACGGAGTCTCGCTCTGTCGCCCAGGCTGGAGTTCAGTGGCCAGATCTCAGCTCACTGCAAGCTCCGCCTCCCAGGTTTACGTCATTCTCCTGCCTCAGCCTCCCAAGTAGCTGGGACTACAGGCTTTATTCTTTTTTAAATATTAATGAGCCAAATAGGAATCCAAAGATTTGGGGTCAAGATTTCTTTATCCCACTTCCAATCCAGATTCTGATCTAGAAGATTATGCCTTTACTTTAGAGTCTGTAACACTAGCTGGTTTAAAGTTGCATGTCTATTCAGATTGTACTTGGTGTAAAAACTTTGTTTAGGAAAATCCAGAATAAATAAGATGTCCCGATAGCGAGTGATTTCAGACAAAAAAGGGCAGAAGGCAAAGCAGTGAGTCATTTTGACAACTCTAGTTTGATATGAGAAAAAGTCATAGGAATTTTTAAAAAATCATAATCTCAACATTTGGTCTAATAGTATACTGAACTCTTTCAATGGGACTTCTCGTATATTAAGAAAATCTTTTGATTATAGTTCAAGGTGATAGAAAAGTCCAAGCCTCTTAAGAAAGCTCTTTATGTCTGTTTATTTCATATATAAATATGTGTCTCTGCATAAATGCATATACATGTGTATAAGTGGCATATACTATAGAACTCTTTATATGGTTTATTTGCTTTCTATTTTGGTCTACTGTATCTTTTTTTATAGCTCTGTCTATAAGAAAAATATTCATGGTATGCTTGCAACTGATGGCTTTGGGTTGATACCAAACTCCCAGTCAAATCTAAGGTTATTTATAGTTTTGAAACTCCCTTAAAAAGTACTTTGGAACATTTCCATAGAAAAGATACCAGCCCTTGAAAAACTCCAATTAAATTTATGCTGAGCTCAGATTAGATGGCAAAACTCTAGGTATGAAAATATCCACATATAACCATATATTCATATACAAAATGGTCATGTGATGAGTGGTGTGAAAAATTGGCGGTTACGTCTTGGAGGTGTTCAGGAGGATGTGGTGGAGCCATGCAAATGATGACGGTCACACAGCAGCACAACACACGACATGAACGGTGAGAACAGAACATCCCACATGGCAATTTCAGGCTAGTTCTGTCCACTGTTTTTTTTTTTAAGTTCAATATTACATATTCATTGAATGAATTCATTGATGACAGGTGAGATACAAAATAAATTAAAAAATATAAAATTATTTATTACATTCATCCTGAGCTTGCTTGACTAGACTTGAACGCCCACTGTATATAATAAATCACTTGACTTTTGTTTTTTTTTAAACATCAACTCTTCTTTCATTTCGACTGCAATACAAAAAGGCATTTCTGTTCCCTTATTTTCTTCAAAAAAGGATAAACAGTTGTGGCACCAGAAGTGAATAGATAAGAGACAGGTGAACTATGACTGTTACCTTGTTTTTTCTTTATAATGATCAATTACAGAAGTGTTGGCATGAGAAGGATGTGGGACGTTAGGTAGAACTGCTTGCTGCCGGCTTATACTGAATAAAGAGGATGCTCTTCATCAGTCACCAGTGATGGAGCCAATGTGAAAAGAAAACAGAATGGAAGTTTAGAATATCTCATTGTGTACGCTGGCTATTTTATTTTATTTCGCAATTTAGCCCTGCATCCTACAACTCTTGATAACGGTCAGAAATGAACAGATGCCTCCTGGCATGGAGCGTGCTCGAATCCCCTTGTTTCCCCTGCTCTCATGGCTTTCTGCCGTGACTGTGGATACATTCATCTCTAACCCTTCCTTCTCCCTCTCTTCCCCCTCCCTGCCCAGCAAGTGTGAACATGCCTTAAATCCCCTGTGTCTGGCACTGGGTCAGATCAAATGCTTTCTTGATCTGTGGCCCAGAAGTCACCTTTGAGTTAACACCTCCCAAAGCATTGCTTGTTTTGCTCAGCTAAGAATAAAGCAGGTATGATTCAAGGAAGGGGGAAAAGCTGGAGTTGGAGAGAATGTTAGGGCTGGATTCTTGAGCCTCCTGTGATGGATATTAAGAAGGTTTAGTTGTGCTTGCTTTCAAAGCTTTGGAAAGCCGATGTTCTGGACAGTCTCCTCATGGACAGGCTGTCCCCTCGGCCCTCTGGCTTGGAGGACTTGCTTCTCTGGAAGGGATTTCGCAGGCTTGCTGTGTTCCGCTGCCTGTCGAGTTTGTCACTGATGGAGAAGCTCTTCCTGGTGTGTGCATATGGCGCGCTTGGCTCCTCTGCCGAGTAGCTGTTGGCGCGCTCTATCTTGGGAACAGTGATGTTGTTGGACAGGGTTCTGTCTGAGTTATCACCCTCCTGGGAGGATATTGCAATGGTGGCTCTGCGGCCTTTGGCCTCATTCTCCTCACTGTCAGAGCTGGGGTGACTCAGTTCTGCTTCTCGCTCGGGATGGCAGCAAGATAAATCCTCCACTTTGTCTCCAAGACCTCCAGGGAAGGCAGCTCTGTCCGCAATTGCTTGAGGGGCATTGACACACCTTGTGTCAATACAGTCTGTAATACTTGTGTATTCTGCTGTTTTCACAGGCATCCCAAAGTTGGCATAATAGCTCCTTGAGGGGGAAAACATAAAGCTATGAGATTTCACGATGGGAGCCTCTTCTAGAAGAAAGGGTGTGGTGGCTAGGTAGCGGCTGCTTTTGGAACGCTCAATGGTGTGGTACATCGGAGGGTCTGAGTCCCAGGGGTTTTGGCATTCTGGAAGGTGGGTATAGTCTGAAGAAAAAGATCTAGTGTCCATGGAGGTGATGTCCTCGAAATCAATGCTCCGGCTTGGAGGTTTGTCTGTGGGTGCAAGGGTTGCATAGGCACTACTTGAAGGGGCTGTGGAAGGTACTGGAGTTGAAAAGCTTGGCTCGCCCAGCCCAAGGATGTTCATGGAATTGTCCAGAGGGTCTATATCACAGTGGAGCTCATCCATAGCAGAGACATAGATGTCTATACACGATGATGGTCTTCTGGAATCAGGAACAATGGCCAAGGTGTTGGCAGGGGCTGCAGGAGCTTTGGGTTCTTTTGCTACAGAGTGGGAACTAGTAGCCCTGTGTAGGCTCAGGGACCTTTCTTTAAAAATACTTTCCAACTTTTCTATACCACCTTTGTCTTTCATATTGACTGAATAGAAAGAATGGCTTCGCATACGGGGCATTAAGGTTGGAGAAGTTGGGGACATGGTCTCCTCACCTGCAGGGTCTATACTCTCTTGGAGCTTGAAGGTGTTCCCTTCCTGGCTGTTGAAGCTGCTCTGGCGGACAATGTAGGCTGCGTCTGTGCAGTCTGAGGAGGTCCTCGAGCGGATTTTGTTGGACTCAGCCCTCTCCAGACCTGTCAGGCGCTCCAGGGCCGTGGCCATGCGCCCGATGAGGTCTTCCAGCTGTGCCAGCCGGATGTCCACAGTCTGGAGCGAAGCCTTCATGGAGTGCTCTCTCTCGTTGACTTCCTCCAGCCGCATGGACATGTTCTCCACCCTGTGTGAGGAAGAGAGAATAAGAGTCACTCAGCCTGGTTCATCTGCTGGGGCTTTAGAGAGCAAGGATATTGCCTGACCTTGGTACCTTCAATGCTGTCTTCCCAGAGGGAAGACAGGTTACAGGTGTCAAGAGGGGTTGGGGAGGAGAGTATGGCATTGATGCTGCGACAGAATCCCAGAATTCAAATCTTTTTGAGCTAGAAGAGGCTTTAGAGATTATCTAATCCAGTGATTTTTTTTTTTTTTTTTTTTTTTTTTGAGACGGAGTCTCGCTCTGTCTGTCACCCAGGCTGGAGTGCAGTGGCGCAATCTCGGCTCACTGCAAGCCCCGCCTCCTGGGTTCACGCCATTCTACTGCCTCAGCCTCCCGAGTAGCTGGGGCTACAGGTGCCTGCCACCATGCCCAGCTAACTTTTTGTATTTTGTTTAGTAGAGACAGGGTTTCACCGTGTTAGCCAGGATGGTCTCGATCTCCTGACCTCGTGATCCACCTGCCTCGGCCTCCCCAGTGATTTTTTTTTTTTAGCTGTCAATCCCCCTTTCCCTCAATGAAATGGAATGCACAACCCTGATAAATAGGCACTAAAATGGAACAGTCCTTATTGAAGTTGAGTGGGGCCAAGTCCACCCTGGCCTAGCTGTGGTTTGAGGCAGGGCATAATGACCTAACTAAGCATTCAGTTGTTGGCTTATCAGGGTCACCCACACAATGAGAATATTGCATTTTGAGGATTTTACCCAGAATTTTGCAATGAAATTTTAGAATCTAGCTATTTTTATTGCAATACACGTGTAAAATTTGTATTCCATGGATGGGGGTTATTTTTATTTTGCATTTATACAATAATTTTTGTTGTTATTCATGATCATCTTTTTAGAAGGTTGTGTCTTTAAAGGAATTAATATGGCCTAGTTACTGAGGCATCCAGGATTGATCTAATCTAATCCAATCCTTTCATTCATAAAGGAAAAGCAAAAATCAAGAATTTAACCAAGATTGCATAAAGCATTTTGTTGTAAACACTACAGTATCTGTCAATAAGTCAATTCTACTCCTCTCTCTGTCTCTCCCTCTCTGGTTAGCTGATCACAGATGCCTTATATTACAGTTATTGCTAGAACTCTCTATCCTCCCGTTGGAAATTCTTTTCTTTTTAAAATTAAATTAAATTAACTTTTTTAGAGATGGGAGTCTCACTTTGTTGCCCAGGGTGGTCTCAAACTCCTGGGCTCAAGTGATCCTCCTGCCTTGGCCTTCCAAAGTGCTGAGATTACAGGCATGAGTCACCATGCCCTGCCTTTTGTTAGTTTGTTTGAGACAAGAGCTCACTCTGTTACCTAGGCTGAAGTGCAATGGTGTGATCATGGCTCACTGCAGCCTCAACCTTCCAGACTCAAGTGATCCTCCTGCCTCAGCCTCCCTAGTTCTGGGACTATAGGTGGATGCTACCATGCTAGCTGTTTTTAAAATTTTTTGTAGAGACAGAGGCTTGCTGTGGTTGCCCATGCTTGTCTTGAACTCCTGGGCTCAAGTGCTTCTCATGCCTCAGCCTCCCAAAGTGCTGGGATCACAGGTGTGAACCCTGGACATTCTTAGGGGCATGGTTTGTCTCATATTCCTGTTTTCATTTCTATGTGGTCAACCTAATACCTGCCAGGTGTCAACAAATGGGTCAATGACATTTATGAACTTGATTTCAATTGCCACTCAGTCTGCCTGGCCATTTATTTAAGACAGAGGCCACATATTAAAAATAAAATCATACCTTATTTTTCACTTGCTCAAATTAACTTGGAAAGGACAAACCAAAGCCAAGTTACAATTTGAGCTCAAACTTTCACTTTTAAATGTCCAAAGACAAACCTTTTGGTGAATTTAAATGAGACCCAGGCACAACTTTTCTGGAGAGGATTAAAGTGACGTTTTCCAATCCTTCCAATATGCAAAGTAAATCGTTTGCTGATTCTTAAGGCACTTGCTGCAGGAAGACCATGGCTACACAATATGCTTCACAGTGAATGTGGGAATTAGGCTGGGTCCCTGCGGTCTGTGGGGGTGGTGGTGAGGTTTTAATGACAGCATCACTTCTATTAGGGAAGCACATACACTTCATATGCCAGAAGCAGGTTATATAATACAAGAGGCATGTGGATCTCTGGGAGACCTATAGACTTCTTAAAAACCTCCCTTCCTGCTAGCTAGGAGCATGGGGGTGTGACTCCTCTGCCTTGGGGCACATTTCTGCCTCTCTCAGGAACCCGCCACCCCTACTCTGCTTTTATCCTTCAGCTTCCCTTCACCCAACTAAAGGTCCCAGCCTGCCCTCAAGAGCCCTGCTTGTCACTTTTTCTTTTGCTCCCTCCTGCTGCCCCATAACCAACCCAGCACATCTCAGGGGCCAGGCACACTCTGCCACCATACCCAGGTGTATTCCCAGAAGACTTGTCCATTGAGCTATTCTGTATCTGGCAAACTCAACGCCATGCACTAAGCTGACACAGCTAATTCAGAAGGAAAACACAGCTTTTCCCTCTTTCACTTCATTTTGTCATATAAACATAGCCCAAGAAACTAAATTACTTAAAATAACAAGTTTATGTGTCTCATAGACTTGCAATTACTTTTTCACTATCTAGCCTATGGAGTTTGATTTTGCAAGTACTGTAGTTAAATTTTTTACAATGCAATCTGTTATATTTATTTATTTATGTTTGAGACAAGGTTTCACTCTGTCACCCAGGCTGGAAGGCAGTGGTGCAAACATGGCTCACTGCAGCCTCGACCTCCTCCTGGGCTCAAGTGATCCTCCTGCTTCAGACTCCCAAGTAGCTGGGACTATAGGTGAGCACCACCATGCCCAGCTAATTTTTTGAAAATTTTTTTATAGAGGTGGGGTCCACTATATTGCTCAGGCTGGTCTTGAACTCTTGGGCTCAAGCAATCCTCCCGCCTCAGCCTCCCAAAGTGTGGTATTACAGGCCTGAGCCACTGCGCCTGGCCAATACATTTTAAGTGTATAAAATACTTGTTCATTTAAGTCCAGAGGAGGATAGATCATGCATTTCTGTAGCATGAGATGTTTTGTTTAACATACTTTAGGTATTGGGTCTCACTAGCTCTCTAGTGCTAGGAGAGTAATAAGAGGCAGGGTAGTTTTATTCTCCTTCTCCCTTTCTCTCTGGAGCCCAGTGTGTACGAGGTTGGTCCTGACAGAGATGAAGTTGCTGTTTTGACCTAACTGTAGTCATTGGTCTGAGTGCTGTGAAGTAGCTCCTTGCCATGGCCTGTGCTGTGGGGTCCTCTCTGTCCACATCCCACCCCTGACCTTCAGCCCCAGGATCTAACACTATAGAGAAAATTTGTAGGTGCGAGGCAGAGCTGATGCACCAACACATAACAGAAGAGTCAGGACCTAAAAAGCCGTGTGTCCCTATAGCCCCAGCTACTCAAGAGGCTGAGGTGGAAGGATGGCTTGAGCCCTGGAGTTTGAGGGTGCAGTGAGCTATGACTGCACCATGGCACTACAGACAGCCTGGGCAACATAGGGAGATCCTGCCTCCTTTTATTTAATATTTATTTATTTATTTTTTCCCTGAGACGGGGTCTCACTTGTCACCCAGGCTCGTGTGCAGTGGTGTGATCATGGTTCACTGTAGCCTCGACCTCCCAGGGCTCAGGTAATCCTCCACTGTAGCCTCCTGAGTAGCTGGAACCACAGGCATGCACCACAACACCCAGCTAATTTTTGTACTTTTTGTAGAGACAGGGTTTTGCCATGTTGCCCAGGCTGGTCTCAAACTCCTGATCTCAGTGATTGATCACCTGCCTCAGCCTCCCAAAGTGCTGGGATTTTTACAGGCAGAAGCCACCACACTCAGCATTGGTCCAGAGCCAGGACCTGGTTGCCTGAACGTAGGCAGTAAACTGGATACAGAAACTAAGTAAACTGGACACAGAAACTGAGTAGCCCAAGGAGATGAGAAGAAAGCAGAGGAGGTACAGGGGGAAGAGTCTCTTCAGGGAAAGAGAGAAGGTACGTGGTGAGAGCCCCAAGAGTGAGGAAGGATGATTGCAGGGTGTGGAACCAGGGGAGGGAGGCCTGTTGGAACAGGGCCAAGCAACTATTCTTGTCAAACCTTAACTCTACTGTGGGCTCTGAGATGGGCTGAAATGTAAGACTTGACTAAAACAATAATGGACTATTTTCTCCATTTTCTCCCAGAATTCTGGGTGTGAAACAAGCCAACCATTTAAATGTATGATCACTTAAGTCATGGACCTAACTGAGAGAGGTTTGACATACGGGTTATAAAAGAATTAAAAAGTCCTAGAGTCAAGGTTTCCTATGTTTGTTTCATAACTAGACTGGTTCCGTTAATCTTTTTTTTTTTTTTTTTTTGAGACGGAGTTTCACTCTTGTTGCCCAGGCTGGAGTGCAGTGGTATGATCTCGGCTCACCACAACCTCTGCCTCCTGGGTTCAAGCAATTCTCCTGCCTCAGCCTCCCGAGTAGCTGGGATTAAAGGCGTGTACCACCACGCCCAGCTAATTTTGTATTTTTAGTAGAGACGGGGTTTCTCCGTCTTAGTCAGGCTGGTCTTGAACTCCTGACCTCAGGTGATCCACCCGCCTCGGCCTCCCAAAGTGCTGGGATTATAGGCATGTGCCACTGCACCTGGCCTTCCTTTAATCTTTAAGAAGTTTTTTTGAGGCTGGGTGCAGTGGCTCACACCTGTAATCTCAGGACTTTGGGAGGCTGAGGCAGATGGATCACTCGAGCCCAGGAGTTTGAGACCAGCCTGGGCAACATGAGGAGACACGGTTTCTACAAAAATGAAAAATTAGCTGGGTGTGATGGTCCATGCCTGTGGTCCCAGCTACTCAGGAGGCTGAGGTAGGAGGATCACTTGAGCCCAGGAGACTGAGGCTGTGGTGAGCACAGATGGCGCCACTGCACTCCAGCCTGGGTGACATAGTGAGACCCTGTCTCAAACAAA